CGGGGTCTCGGACTGGTTTGGCATTCAAAAAGGTGTCAGACAGGGCTGTGTAGCTTCTCCGTAGCTGTTTAACCTATATATGGACAGTTGTTTGCAAACTTTGAAAGTTGAAGAATGTGGATTGAGAATGGGTGAGTTAACCGTCAAATGTCTTTTGTACGCCGATGATCAAGTCATATTTGCATCGTCGGCGGCGGAGTTGCAAATGTTGGTTACTTTAATGAACTGGTCATTAAAAGAAAGGGGTATGAAAGTGAACGCAAGTAAGACGAAAGTGATAGTTTTTAAAAGAGAAGAAAGTAAAACGTTACGTGAAATAAGAATAGAAGGGGAGTTGATTGAGCAAGTGGATGAGTTTGTATATTTGGGATGTTTATTTAGCAGGGATGGTAGATATGATAAGGATATAGAACGACGAGTGAACGCAGGAAATAGAGTTAATGGGGCTCTACACGCTATTATGAAGAGTCAGAATGAGTCAAAGAAGGCACGTATGGAAATTCATAATGCTGTGTTAGTCCCTACTTTAATGTATGGTAGTGAAAGTTGGGTCTGGCAGAAGAAGCATGAGAGTAGAATAAAGGCTGTAGAAATGCGGTCATTAAAGAATATGCTAGGGCTGAATCTGAATGACAGGGTGAGAAATAGTGTGATAAGAGAAAAGTGTGGTTTGCAAGATGACGTTGTGACCAGGATTAAAAAAGGAATGTTTCGGTGGTTTGGTCACGTAGAAAGAATGAACGAGGAAAGAGTGACAAAGCAAATTTATGTTTCAGAAGTGAACGGCTAAATCGGGAAGGGACGCCCTAGACGAAGATTTATCGACCAAATCGGCGATACATTGTAAATGGGTCAGATTAGGGATCGCGCCAAATGGAAGTCCGTAGTCTCTGCCTACCCCTCTGGGTGGCAAGCGTAAGTGTTTGTGTGTGTTGTTAATAGACATATTACGAAAAGCAGAAAGAAGAGATATCCGTCACTAAAATTTGACCCCGACATATAATTTTTACTATGAAAGTTGCACCTGCCTGGTGTTACCCTACGTTTGCACCAAAAACTTCCAACTTGTTTCAAAACTTTTCATATAAAATAAATCACACAACATATTTTGTCAGTACTTGCGTTTGCACTCCAGGAAACTACGTCAATTTTGCGACAAATACTAAGATTTCTTGCTGTTTGCGTACTAACTGAATAAAAACTTATACAATGTATACTTTGATTGATTTGATTGATAAACTTATACAATGTATACTATGGCATTGGGTTTATTAAGCTCTCCGTTGGAATTGTTGCTTGATTTGTCTTTTTTTGGTGTTATCCAAAAAAGTAGCTAAACATAAAGTGTGTAAAAAAGGTACTTTCACATATATAGGTATCTGGCACTATTTCTGTATATAAAAGCGAATATTTTTTGTCCCGTATATGCCAAGCCCACTCGAAGTGACCATCTCAGGCCAGCCATGTGTGTTCCTCTTTGTTCATCACAGGTGACCATGCCGTGGCTCCCCGCCAAAATAAGGCGGTAACCCGTTTGGTGGAGGGGAGGCTAGGCGCAGGACCAATAGCTTACATGGTGGACATACTTAGAACGTTCTATTCGTTTAATATATTTAAAGATGTGATTTGCTGTGACTTTACGACTCACTTCAGTAACCTGAGTTCTCCAATTCAGCGTGCTGTCAATGTGTAGGCCAAGATTTTTTACAGACTTACTGAACGGCATTGTAATCCCATTGTCATAGATAGGGGGTATGTCTGCAAGATTAATCTTGGCTAGCATCCTTGAGCTACCCACCAGTAAAGCTTGGCATTTCGAAGGATTGACCAACACTCCATTACGAGTAGACCAATCCTTGATAGCTGATAAGTTGTCATTTAATTTTTTAATCCCATTATGCATATCCCCAATTTCAGCTTGCACGTATAGCTGAAGATCATCGGTATACAGATGTTATAGGCAATCGAAGATAGAGCTAATAAAGTTTATAAAAATTTTAAAAAATTACAGGAGAAAGAATACCATTTTGCGGCACACCAGCTTCCACATCAACCCAAGCTGAGGTTATTTGCCCCCCACAGGCTGACTGCTGTCGACCCCGAAGATAAGATGCAAACCATTCCTATGCTGTAGGGCCAAAATTTTGATGAGACAGTATGGAAACAAGGATTTCATGATCAACTATGTTGAGAGCATTTGAGAAATCAACTAGTCCCAGTAGTGTTGCTTTTTTTCTTCCATACCTTGTCTAATATCGTTTGTGACGTTAATTAAAGCAGTACTATTACTATGACCAGGGTGAAACATAGACTGATATATACTCAGAAGGTTATGTTTCGAAATAAATGTATTGAAATTTGCTTGTAAACACAGGATTCTAAAATTTTGGAAAGAAAGGGTAGAATTGATATAGGGCGAAAATGATTGGGAAGAATTGGAGAAGGAGCTTTTGGAAGGCACTTTATAAAAGCCCTTTTCAAAAGATTAGGGTACTGACCTGAATCAAGGGAAAAATTTATAACGTGGAAAATTGCCGGAAGAAGGTGCTCTAGTATAAATACTACCATGTGTCTACTAATCACATCATAACCCACCGTCTTGGACTGAATTGCTAAAATAGATTTTTTGACATCATCCTGAGAATCAGAAGAGAAATTATATGTAGTATATTAGGAATTTGTACAGAAGAAATGGAAGCCACAGTTTGAGAGCGAATTGTAGGGTCCATTGCTGTTACAGAAGCGAAATGTTGGTTGATTTCATCAAGTGATAGAGACTGACCACAATCCAATGTAGCTGGCCTGCAAAAACGAAAAGATCTAAGAAATTTCCAAATTTCGGTGGGCGAAGAGTTGTTAATACAATTATGGAAATATCGACCTATTCCTGGCTGCTTTAAAAGATAACCAATTTTCTTCATTACGTTCTCTCTTAAAACGAAGAAAAGCTCGATTACGTCTAGACATTGCCAACCCAACGCCCTCTGTCATCCATGGGACTAGAGGCCACTTCAATCTAACCTTGTGAACTGGGGCATGAGCATCATAAAGGCTGAGAATATTTTGGTTAAGGATAGAGACTTTATCGTCAACAGTAGGTGCTGCAATAAATGAGGTTAGATCGATATTAAGAGCATCATCCCTTAGCTTGTCAAAGTCTATTTTAGAAAAACTGCGCAGATGACTGCATCTGGGATATAAGGGGAATATTTGGGAGGTTTAAGCTTATACGAAGCATAAATCAAGTCATGACGTGAGATGCCCAAAGCAGGTAACTGTCCGTGCATCATCACACAATCAGGAGAAGCAGCAAAGATAAGATCAATCAATGAGTCATCGGTTCCAATATTGTGATGAGTAGCCTTTAAAGGGAGAATAGAAAAATTTACCGACTCAACAATTGAAAGAAGCTTTTTGGATCGAGGAGAGTTTTTCAACAAATCTGTATTGAAGTCACCTATGATTATACAGTGTGCGTACTCAGAACAAGTATCAACAACAGCCATATCTAAAGTGGCGAAGTAGTCTGTCGAAGGTGGGCAATACATTACCCCTAGAAGCATCCTTATACCCTTTACATTAAGTTCTAAAAATAAAAACTCAGAAGAGGCAGAATAACAGGAAGGAGATACTAAAACAATTTTATGAGGAATTGATGCGTGTAGGTAAATGCGTGTAGGAGGCTACACCATCTCCACCTTTTATATTTGCCACAAACATGTTTTAATATTCACATGTTAAAAGATATTTGTGGCAAACATTGCAAATCCGAGAATTTTGAACCTAACTTAAACGAACTATTATATTAATGTTAATTAGGTTTTATTTACATGTAGCAAAAGATAATAAAGTCACATTTTGGTAAGAATTCGATTATATAACTAAACTCAAATTTATTTGTAATTACCTAGTTATAAATATTTTTTTATAGCTTCATCTACAAACATTACCTATAATGAGCACTCACTGAAAAAGGCAATTAGTAAACGATCTCTGCAAGTGGTATATACATAGGTACCTCTGTGAAGAAACCTAGCGATTTGTACATAGTATATGTTACACTAAAAAGCAATTTAATCCAATCAGTGTTTAAAAAAACCCAATACTTTCACTCTTTAAAAAAAACGTTGAAAACAAGCCTCCAGACGCAGACTATTTATTTTACAGCATAGCAACACTTGTTCAATGCGGGAACGAAGCCTCGGTCCTGCAGTGCCGCAGCTAAGCACTTAACCACTGCGCTACGGAGTAGTCATTTATTTTTTACTTAATCAATTACTAGTACATATAATAGTGCGTTTTTTATTTTATATTTTATTTATACATATTTTTGTACCTAATGATTGTAGAGATATAAACAAAACTACAATTACAAATTGCTGGGTGTAAAATACATTAATTTCTTATCCTCTCCGGCATTTTTACTCAATCCCACGTTAAAAAATTTATTTCTCATAAATAATTCAGTATTATAGAGATCTAACTTTTATTATGTAAAAATATCGATAAACAATATATCGACAAAAGTTATACTGGTAAAATTATTCGAGGATAGACATTTACAGCAATATTATAGTTCGCCTATGTTGTCAGCACTGTTTGTCAAAAATTAAATGTCACGTCTCGATGTTGGTAGAATAGATTGGAACCCGTTCATACATTTACTTTTTCTTATTAAGTTCCGCCATGCGTAAGCATCATATTAGTCTGTGCCCATGCTTACCACAGAGTACTTTTTATATTGGGTAACACTAACAGCGTAGATAGAGGATTGATAAGATATAGTACGCGTCACGTAAAAAGAACGCTGGCGGTCAAGCTGCGCATAGGCGATTTATCGGTCTACTTGGTGGTATGAGGTAGGGCGCGGGGCGGGTTAGCCACGCGCCGCATGTTTACCGATGCGCTATTGGTTCATCAGTTGAGCTTTGCTTCCCGCGTATATCCACGTTACGTTCCTTTTAAAAATACCATCGCGCACAAAAGTTTTAAATTACGAAATGGTTTTACATAGAGAAGTGAGAAAAATGATTTATGACGTATACTGTTTTATGAAGAGGGAAGCTGATAATAATGTAGTTAATAATTTAAAACAATGTATGAAACGGACCGCAGAGGCAACAAAATGTTCCGAGTCGACAGTGAGACGAATAGTAAAGGGTTCAAAAGATTCGGAATTTCTTACTGTTTTCCGAACTCCCGGCAAAAATAAAAGAAAAAAAACAAAACCAATAACAGACATTGACAGCTTTGACCAGGGTGTTATAAAAAGAATGATCCATAATTTTCACGTTACTGAAAAAGAATTGCCTACCATAGGCAAGTTGCAAAGGAAGTTACAGGATGACATACATTTCCAAGGATCTGCAGCAAGTCTCAGGCGAGTATTGAAAAACTTGGGTTTTAAATGGAAAAAAACGGAAACCAATAGAAAAATCTTAATTGAGCAGTCACAAATTCGATTTCAAAGAATTGAATATCTGAGAAAGATTAAAAAATATAGAGAGGAAGTAAGACCTATCATTTACACTGACGAATCATACGTCGATAGTTCCCATGCGTCTCACCATGCTTGGACAGACGGTTCCACCAAGGGCATTAAAAAACCTGTATCTAAAGGTAGCCGCTTAGTCATAGTGCATGCGGGTGGCGATGCAGGTTTTGTGCCGAATGCTTTACTGACGTTTAAAGCCGGTACAAAAAGCGGCGACTACCATGACAATATGAATTCTGAAAATTACGAGCGGTGGCTCCGTACTCAACTGATACCAAATTTACCGCCTAATTCAGTCGTGGAAGTCGATAATGCATCGTACCACAATAAACAACTCGATACTGCACCAACGTCCAATTCAAAGAAAGCAGACATGCAAACCTGGTTTCGTCAAAAAGGTATTGAATTTGAAGAGACCATGCTAAAGCCGGAGTTGTACAACTTAATAAAAAAATGCAAAGATAAATTTAAGAAATTTAACATCGATGCTATTTTGAACGAAGCAGGACATTCTGTACTTCGTTTGCCCCCATATCACCCGGACCTGAATCCTATTGAAATGGCCTGGTCCCAAATAAAAAGTTATGTTGCCTGTAAAAATGTAACTTGGAACCTGACACGTATAACTGAGTTGATTCATGAAAAAGTAAATTTAATGGGAGCAACAGAATGGGGGAAGCTATGCACGAAGGTAAAAGAAATAGAGGCTGATTACTGTAAAAGCGATCATGTGGTGGACATGATGACAGAAACATTTGCTATCCACATAGGGGATCATGATTCCGACTCAGATGAGGATGGAAGCTCGAGTGACGACAGCGACGACGATGAAATGGCCACTTCTAGCACCAACACCGCGTCCTCATCTGGTTTTCACGTCACGCATGATGACTTAATGGAAGGAGTTTCAACATTACTTTAATTTTATTTCGATTAAACATTCTATAATACATAATTCAAACATGTTTTTAATTCATTTTATTGATATTTTATCTAATATATTTTTCAATGTTATAACTAATAAGAATAACAAATATATAGGTACGAAGCCACGACCCGCGAGCGAAAGCCTAGTTAAAAAATAAATTAATAGGCACATAACTTTCGTGCGAGACTGTACCCATGCGCAAACACACTCCCACCACTTTCTTCCAGCGTTCTTTTTACGTGACGCGTGTTATACTATAAGTCTATGACTATTTACTAAGGCCGGCCACTTACGTACGGAATTTCGTTTTGGGATTCCGTTTCGGAATATCGAACGGATTGGCCACACACACACGGAATTCCGTTTTGCCCGCAAGATATCAAAAGATGAAATTGTTTCACGAACATGGCGACATGGACTAATGAGGAAATATTTAGGTTCATTGATTCTTATCACAATTAATCAGTTATATGGAACCCCAAACATGAGCAACATAAAAATAAAACCACCTTCTTATGTGCCATCCTTTTTTAATCACTCTTCACTGGTGCACATCTAAATAAAATTTGAAAGCGCTGTACAAGTATATTGGAGCGACCACGATCGCCCTAACGCCCATCATCATCTAGCTACCAACGCAGAATGAAACACGCCAACGTGTGAATGGCACCACGAAAATCTGTCGAGCACACTCGCCAAGCGCGCCCGACCAACGTATTCTGGTGCCCTAACAGAAAATTACCGTACGTGTGTGGCGGGTCATAGATATTATATGGACTTGTTGCGTTCAGGATTCCGAATCGGAATATAGAAACGGAATTCCTGATGTATGTGGCGGGCCTTAGGCCGGCCAAATGCATACGGAATTCCGTTTCGGAATTCTGAACGGGTCAGCCACACACATACGGAATCCCGTTTTGACTGCAAAATTTCGAACGGAAGAATACCGTACGTGTGTGGCGGGTCTTAGATTTTATATGGACTTGCTGCGTTCGGAATCCCGAATCGGAGTATCGAAACGGAATTCCGAACGGATCGGCCACACACATACGGAATCCCGTTTTGTCCACAAAATTTCGAACGGAAAACTACCGTACGTGTGTGACGGGCCATAGATTTTATATGGACTTGCTGCGTTCGGGATTTCGAAACGTAATATCGAAACGGAATTCCGTATGTATGTGGCGGGCCTTACAGTTGCAAACAGAGACAGACAGTGACATTTGTGGTATCGTGGTATCTATATTGTTGATGTTATTACTAATTGTTAAATTATACATAATATGCTAAAGTTATTTTGCAAATTCTGTTTAGTGTATAAATTTATCGCTTGAAGGATATAATCACTTCGTTATAGTATATGGCTGTATATAATTTGTAAGACCATTTAAGGTTAGGTTGTACCTTTTAAATATTTTCCCCAAACGTATTACATGTATTTGGTATTATATAATACCTTATTAGATATATTATGTTTTACAACATAAAACATAATATAAAATTTTTAAAACATAATATATCTAATAAGGTATTATATAATACCTTATTAGATATATTATGTTTTACTAACAAATCACAATTATTTACATTCATACGTGGTGGTAGTATTGCAGAGAGAACTCCCGAAAACGAAGTGGTTATATAGTCTTCGATTTACATACTACATTACTTAATAGCATCAATTTATTACTTAAAACCCGAAAACGCAGATAGCTGCATTTGCACATTTTTATCACGAGAGTAATACTGTGATCAAGACACTGCAATAAATAAACAATGTCTACACGCTGGTTAATATTTATTTCTTTTCTTAAAAGCAATATTTATATTTATATTTTAAATTAAAAATTATAACTCTTTCTCATTAGGTATCCTATATATCAGAGGGGAAATCCTCAATTACGAGTGTTTTTACCTAATTTTTGGATGAAAATGGTACGACCCCACCCAAAACAGCTACCTAATATTGTACATTTTCAATGTTCAATGGAAATGACAAAGTATGATATAAAAAATTACTTAGAAAAAATCTACAACATACCTGTTGTTGATGTAAGAACTAAAATAACATTAGGAAGGTTTCGCAAAGATTATGGCCAAGGGTATATTGTAAAAGATGATGATGTTAAATATGCATACATTGTTTTGGTGAGTACAACACATTTTATCTAAACTTTAGAAGAAGCTAAGTACTTTATAAAGTAATAGGATTAGGATCTTTAACTAACATGAAAATATACCTAAGTAGAGATTAAATGGTATGTTTAGTTCCTCATCATTACAGCCCTTCACAAGTCCACTGCTGAACATAGGGCCCTCCCATGGAATGTCACAATGCACGGTCTTGAGCCACCTGCATCCATTGACTATCTGCATGTCTTACCAAGTAGTCAGTCCATCTAGTGGGGCCCTACACTAATTCCGTCGGTACGAGCCCGCCACTCAGGAACTTTTTCCCCATCGGTTGTCGGTTCTTCAAGCTATATGGCTGGCCCATTGCCACTTTAGCTTACCTAGGTAATTAGAAACAAAATAGCTCTATTTTATAGGCTAATTTTTTTATTTAACACTTAACACTGACAATTTTGTTTCAAGAGTATATGTGTATGTTCCATGTAGTGGTGGTGTAAGAATATATGACAGAGCATGTGTAAGAATATAAGCATAGCAACTATGGCAAATATCCCTCTTATGAGGTAAGCCATGGTGTTATGTATCAGGTAGAACAGGCAATAATCTTTCTCAAAATCTACTTTAAATATTTTAAATTAGGAATAGTAACTGTATACATTTTTTCATATGTAAGATAGGCCCTAGATAATAATGCTGCATGCAATGCATTGGGGCATGCATGACAGATCCTCATGCAATATCATCAATCATTTTTTTTCATTTCCGGTGCCTAAATAACAGTGAGTGACAATTTGAAATCCTTATTATTTTCAGAATGTTTGTCATATTTCATTGTGATGCTAGGTTTGTCTTGCAGTGCATCAGTGAAGCCAATTCAAAACAACCAAAGCTGTTGCATGACATGATAATCCTAAGGCAAATATTTGTATAATATGTCTATCTTAGTTTACAGAATGAAAAATGAAATGAATAGTTATTTAACCACCAGCATGTTGTTCACATTTCATTCGCATCAATCAATATAATTAAATGATCATGCATACATAATAGCACATTAAGCATGTCATGCTAAATGACTATCTAGGATATGTCAATCTTAATTTGTGGGATCAAAAATTAATTGAATTATTATTCAACTGCCACCACTTTGTTCGTATATCAGTCACATCAATCAATATAATGAGTTCTAATATGTTACCGCACACCAGATGTTGCTAGGTGGAACTGAGACGAAACTAATTATACAAGTGTCAGCATAACTGAAAAGTTGCAATTTAAATAAAAGTATTTTGTTTTCAGTGTATATATGTACCTAGATACTGAAAACAATGCCTCTGTGATTGTTCTATAGATTTTTGCACATTTAAACTCATTAATTTGTTTTACTTTAAAAATATCCTTCATATTCTAAATTATGGCTTCTTTTGATAGAATTCTGCCAGTGTCAAGTAGGTCATGGAAGTGATCAAGTAATCCTTCATATATTTTCCTAACAATTTAATATTCCCTCTACGGAATCTGTTAAATATTTTACCTCATTCCAAAGTTGTGTCGCTATAATGTAATGAAAAAGTTGTAGATACCCTCGTTAAACAATCATGCATGCATGAAATCACCCAAAACATATCATTCCACATTAATATTTAGGGCTAACATTACAAAGGAATAAAATATTTCTTGAGGTTTTCTTCTTCTTTTGTACTTTATGGCTTCTCTTAATAGAATTCTGCCAATGTCTTATCATAGGAGTGGAAAAATAGAGGAAATAAATGAATCTTATTTTCTGAATCAAATAATTTTAAGTGAGAGGCTTTTCAAGTCTACGACTTAAGACAACACAAACAAATATACCACCAAAATGATTAGTATTATTAATTTAATATCTTTCTTATGAATGGAATAACATGGACAGTAAGCCGGTAAAATTAGTAGTTCAAAGAATGTTAAGGCGAAAAATATCACATTGGGTGTTGTACTTAAGAATTTGAATTGAAGAATGCATAATGCTGAAAGAAGATGTAGTGACAAAAATTGAGAAAGGTATGCTGAGATGGTTTGGCCATGTCGAGAGAATGAATGAAGAACGATTGACGAAAAAAGTGTATAAGGCGAGTGTGAATGAAAGTGTTGGAAGGGGTAGACCTAGGCGGACATTTCTAGACCAAATCAGGGACGTCTTGAAAAAAGGCCAGGTCAAGAGAACCCTAAACCGTAGAGCATGTATGAAGGGAATAATGAAAGTGGACGAAGCAAAACAAGTATGTAAGGATCGTAGCAAGTGGAAAGAACTGGTCTCTGCCTACCCCTACGGGAAAGAGGCGTGATTATATTATTATTATTATTAGAATGCATAAGCGGACCATGAACAATATAATATTTTCAGCATAAAATATATTATGCTAAAAGTATTTATTATAGTATTTTAACAAATAAAATTGTTACATTTGTTAATAAGATAATATGTATATGCATATTTCAGCCAAAGGATATGACATTCAAATTCCCTGAAATCTTTGATAGTAAAAAGAATGATGAAGAGGAAAATATGAAATCATTAGATGAAGCTAAAAAGAACTTTAGTGACTACTTAGAAAAAAATAAAGACAGAACTGATGTTCCAAGTTGGTTTTCTATTTAGATTTTACAACATATTCATTATTGTAGCCAGATAGATTTTTTTAAATAATAATTGTATATTAATGATTAGATAAATAAAGTTACTATTTCAATTGTTTTTTTTTTTACTTGGTAATCTCCTAGTGAAATGACCTGAAATATTTTTATAAATGATAATATAATATATTAGATTTATTAAACTATCAAAGTTAAATCCATCACATTAATTGAATGGTAAAAGCATAGATTTATAGACGCTGGAAACTTGAATCAAATCAAAAATAATGTCTATTATTTAAAAAAAAATATACATTACAATATAAGAATCTAAATAGACCGATAAATAAGATCTAATCTGTATCTGTCAAGTACAGGAATTCCTAAGATGTTGGCAATTAATAAAGTTGAATAAAACATGAAACAATTTGAAGAAACATACAACTAAGTACTTTTTGTTAAGACTAGGTAAACATGAGCTTGAAAATATGTAGGTAACAAAATTCTCTACAAAACTTAATAGTACTATTATATATAAATACTACACACTCGATTTTAAAAAAATGTAAACGGAATAAAAACAACAGAATGAAAGTCACCAAAATGTTTAATTTGAAACTTAAAAAGAACACAGCTCAATATTCTAAACTCAACAATCATTAAAAACAATAAATATAAATTACATCTATGAAAACAACAGATGTTTTTGTTACAAAAACTCAAATGTTTCTATATAATTTATTTTGTTGTTTTAACTTAATTTAGTTCTTAAGTCTTAAAAATTTCAATGATAACTGCAATCAATGCTTCTTAATTGCTAATTAGTAATACCTACACATGTTTATATAAACTTTTTATATATATATATATATATATATATATATATATATATATATATATATATATATATAATGCTTTTAATCTATTAAAATCTTAATTAATCTTAACAAAAAACAAAAATAGTACAACGTGAGTTTAGTCACTTGTGAAATACTCATCTAGAAATATAGATGAATGGCAGCGTGGACATTCTGTTATATCCAACAAGAAAGTGATCTGTAACCAAAACAATCATAGAATATGACCTGGATTAAAATATTATGCACGTTAAAACAAACAAATTTAAATAATCCAGCATAAACTGCAGGATGACTTTACTACATAGAAAATGTAGTGTCATTAAATTTGCTTATTGACACTCCATGATCAAGAGTAGAATTGGATAACTTTTGATGTTTCTTAGAAATAAATTAGTTTTAAATATTAATATGAACTACTTACTCGAGGATGTTGCTCGCATTTTAAACGAATACGACCATGACAATAATAACCACATGCGCGACAAAATACCATAGTTTTGTTCCTGTGACAAGAACATTTCGTGTTATACGCATTATTTATTAAAGGAACGCCACGACCAACTCTCTTCGAAGGTTTGAAAATTTTGCCTGCTGCGGCAGCGACTATCGGAGTAGGTGACGCTTCCATCGTTATCAATTTTAAAATCTAAAATAAAAGTATTCCAGTCTGTCAAAATTTAAATCTAGTCGTTAGTCTCTTTAGACGTTTCTGCGTTATGGCGGGTAGTAAGCGTAGTGATTATATTCTCTTTGGCGGGTAGTTACAAACAAATGACAATGAGGAATTCTATTTACCGTTCTTTTGATCATAGACAACATAATATCGAGATAGTAAGCATAAAGGTAATCTACAATTTTACATAAATTGAGTCAATATTGTCTCTCTTTTCTAATTCAATTTTTAAATATGGCAAATAAAGAAACAGATTGAAAGATGTTGCTTAAAATGTATGCGTAGAGCATTAATGAAAGGTGGTCATCTTTGGTCTCTTTATACTATGGCAAATAAGATAGTAAGTTAAACTCGTATTTACTGATTTACTAGAAAAATGACATCCCTATTGTAGTATTAACAGAATCAGAAGTGTTTCTAGTTAATTTGTGAACAGAACTAATCAATAGTGATTTCGTTCCTGATGAAATTTAATACTATTTCATTACAGTAATGAATTAAAACTAAACTGACTTCTTTAACTAGATGGTTACATTACTACGATGAGGACAGCTGAGGACTATAATAAATATAATTGTAAATGCAACGGCTTTTATACTATAGTCAAAACAAGTCTATTGACTGAAAATACGACACCTTGGTTTGACCAGCAACAATAATTATACAGTGGAGTCAGCGTCGTCTGTAACGTTACACTTCATAATATATTCCGAGTAATCTGATATCAAAAGCTTAGTCGGCACAATTCGTGATCAACATGTTGTTGTAAAATTATGGCTACTTGCAAATGTCATGTTTCCGGGCAATCTAATATCAAAAGCTTAGTCAGGACAATTCCCCACCGATAGTAGTCCGACACCTCCTTGGGACAGATGATCGCCTTCCCGGTGAGAACAAGTTGCCGGATTCGAGGATTAATTATTTCAAAGGGGTACTTGGTTACATGCTTAAAGTTATTATACTCTAGGCATCTCATGAATCTTTTTTTTTATAGGAGAGGGGGCAAACGAGCATGCGGCTCACCTGATGGTAATTGATTACCGCCGCCCATGAACAAATGCAACACCAAGGGAACCAGGGGAATCGCAGATGCGTTGCCGGCCTTTTAAAAAGGAGTAGGCTCTTTTCTTGAAGGTCCCCAAGTCGTTTCGGTCCGGAAAAATCGCTGGTGGCAATAGATTCCACAAGCAAGTTGTGCGAGGAAGAAAACATCTTCTAAATCGCACAGTGGTGGACCGCCAATCATCCAGATGGTATGGATGGTATCGGGAGTTCTGCCGGCGGCTGGGATTAATCCGCACAATTCCTCAGAGCACTCCCCGTGGTAAATGCGAAAGAAAATTATAAGGGATGCAACATCTCTTCGCAGCGCCAATGAATCGAGCCAATCGGAAAGGACTCCGTCGTCGACGATTCAAGCCTCTCTGCGGATGTGGTTAAGTGGATGGAGCTGACACTGGGGAGCCCCAGCCCAGAGATGGGAAAAGTGTTGCATTTGAGGCCGAACCTGCGCCTTGTAAAGTTGCAGGCGTTGTGCCGGCATGAAATACTGTCCCGCTCTGCTGAGCACGCCAAGCTTTTTTGAGGCTAATTTGGCCTTCTCTTCCAAGTGACCACGTAACTGCACGTCACTCGATATGTCGACGCCGAGGATTCCGATATTGGCTGAGGCAACAAGGGGAGTACCATGAAACTGAAGAGATACGACAAAGGAGTTCTAAAAGCCAATAGTTCTAAAGTCTAGGGATAATTTGGCAGAAATATACTATCTGAAGTTAAGTAGATTTCATAGTGATGACCTTGTCACGATATAATTTTTATTACCACGAGTCGAATTATTCGAATACTTTTTTGTTGTAAGATGTCAAATGAAGATTTTACTAACGTTCATTGATTTATTTAAGTATAACGAACCGGATTAATCAAAATCCTTAATTTTACTAAGTCACTGACAATTTATTTTGCTAATGGCACATCAGTAGAGGTGTCTATTGAATGGAAAAATGGCATCAACCTTGTAAAAGAGAGAAGGTAAGAATAATATAGCTAGCTACCATTGATGTTTTAAAAGAGGAAGATATGTCACTAAATCACAGCGCCCGGTCCTACAAAACTACGGGATTGCCCGTACTTGGCTCGTAGTGACACTTCGGACGGAGGAACGTCGTTGATCATACAGCTCTTTAATTTCAGTTCTTTTGGTATTAAATATGCATTAAAATGACTTCTTGTGCAGCTAAACAGTGTTCTAATAATTGAAGAAATAAAAATAAGATACACAGGATTACTTAGCACTCATAATTATGGCAAAAAAATTTATTTTGTTGAAATTATGATAATGTTTATTGTTGACTTCGCCATGTTTGTGAGAGCGAGATAGATAATACAAACATGCCCAAGAGACAGGATACGCGATTAACATAAGAGCTGTATGATCAACGACGTTCCTCGCGCGACTGAGTGTCACTACGAGCCAAGTACGGGCAATCCCGTAGTTTTGTAGGACCGGGCGCTGTGATTTAGTGACATATCTTCCCCTTTTAATACATCAATAGTAGCTAGCTATATTATTCTTACCTTCTCTCTTTTACAAGGTTGTTGCCGTTTTTCCATTCAATAGACACCTCTACTGACGTGCCATTAGCAAAATAAAAAAAAAAACGTTGTTGATAAATTCATTGTCAGTGACTTAGTAAAATCAAGGATTTTGATTAATCCGGTTCGTTATACTTAAATAAATCAATGACCTCGTTTGCCCCCTCTCCTATAAAAAAAAGATTCATGAGATGCGTAGAGTATAATAACTTTAAGCATGTAACCAAGTACCCCTTTGAAATAATTAATCCTCGAATCCGGCAACTTGTTCTCACCGGGAAGGCGATCATCTATCCCAAGGAGGTATAGGTAGGATTGGGAAATTGTCCTGACTAAGCTTTTGATATTAGATTGCCCGGAAACTTGACATTTGCAAGTAGCCATAATTTTACAACAACATGTTGATCACCAATTGTGTGTGTGTATTAGATATGAGCGCCGAAGGCCAATTCCACGGCGGCGGCGTGGCTTGAAAATTTTCTCGGCGGCGGCGTCGTCGCGGCGGCGTAGCGTGGTCCTTAGATATTGTTTTATCAGGAAGAGATTTCTTAAAAAAATTAAACAATACCATATTGTTTGTACCAAAAACAGCTTTATATTTTTCAAATAAAGCCCAGACGAGCCCCAGCCCAGTGATGTGAACAGTATTCCATGTGAGGCCGAACCTGCGCCTTGTAAAGTTGCAGGCGGTGTGCCGGCATGCAATACTGTCCCGCTCTGCTGAGCACGCAAAGCGTTTTAGAGGCTTTTCTTTGGCCTTCTCTTCCAAGTGATCACGAAACTTGCACGTCACTCGATATGCCGACGCCGAGGATTCTGATACTGGCTGAGGCAACAAGGGGAGTGCCTTGAAACTGAGGAGATGTTCCGATCTGCAAGACAGCTGGTGATTAAATTGCACAATTTCTCGGGAAGCCCATAGAAAGGGAGCTTTGAAAGAAGAGCTTCGTGCCAAACCCGATCGAAAGGCCTTCGCAATGTCCAAACTAACGGCCAATTTCTCCCCTTGAACTCTTATGCCTCCGCCTATCTATGAGTCAAGTAGACCAGAAGATCACCAGCTGACCGACCCTGACGAATACTGTATTGGCGGTCACTAATCAGCTGGTGATCCTTAAGATACCGCATGAGCTGGCAGTTTATAATGGATTCCATTATTTTGGGGAACAAGGTGATGGCGATAGGCATAGCTAGACACCCGTCTAGCTATGATAGCTATGCCTATCGCCATTCGCAACTAAATTTTTCATCAGGCGACCGCTCAGATCCCTGAGCGGTCGCCTTTTTTTAGTCAGCCTGCAGAATGCAATCGTGATGTTAGTGTGAGTGGCACTAAACTCCGGACTCGACAATGATCTGAGGAGCCAAGAGGAGAGTGGACGGAGACCTGATATCTATCTGAATGAGAGGCCAGCAGAAGGTACAACAGGGAAGGTGTATGATCTTCTACATCTGGAGTCCACGTAGCCGAAGTTACTAGTTGTGTCCGACCCTATGCCAAGGCAAAATAATGAACAGATTTCCCCGCATGATCGGTTAAACATGAATCGAGCCATTCGGCGTGGTGGGCTGAGTATCACAATCTCTGCGGATGGGATCTGCTGTAGCAAGGAATCTGTAGCCATTTGGACATGGTCGATGAATCGGTCTGTTTCGGCGTTACCGCTATGGGATCTATAGAGGCACCCGTAAACATGCGGATGGTCGTCGCTGTCTGCGCGTAGCCAAAGTATGGACAGGTCCTTCAAGACTGCCGAAGCGCCGAGAACAGATGTCCTCTCTGATGTATATGCAAACTCGAGCCCGAGACACAAGGAGTGATCCAATTTGTACCACGGGTAGGAGAGATACGAAGTATCAGCCGGAGGGGACATCTGCGTCTCGATCAGACGGAGCAAGGCCGGCTTCGTTGTCTCGAAATGGTAGTGGACGGCGTTTAGGATCGAGTGAAGTCCCTTGATGTTGCTGAAAGTCACGTGGCAGGGGTCGCCTTGGCCTTGTTGCTCAGCTTGTCCCGAGCAGTTTTTGTCTTGAGCGGAATTTTGCCCAACTTCCTCCCCCCGCCCGAATATGCGGGGTGGCTGAGCTACTGAGCACCCAGGAGTAGTAAGTCCCTTCTCAGAAGTGAAGTAGCTTGATAAGCAGATCTTAAACTTCACGCCGGTATTCTGTGAGGTCGTGGTACCACTCCGGTTTGAGCCGGCCCATACGTGCAACAGCCGAAGTTGCTCCCATTGTTAACACCACACAATAATACACGTTCACTCGGTGAAATATTCGACTCGACTGAGTGAGCGACGAGCGTGGCGAGGCGACAAGGCGAACTAATACGGTCGGACCGCGCGTGTGAGCGGGAAAGGAAGTAGCGACTCGTTGCGACGGCGTACCGCGTGCTTAACGCGGCGGCGACGCGCCGACATGAACTCACGACAACGGCGGCGCGCCGGCGCGGCGCTCATATCTAGTGTGTATATATATATATATTTCAACAGAGGATTCCAATTTTGATCTTGGAAATACATCAGGATAGCGTTAACTGTTAAAAATAATAAAAGTGTGAAAGCGGATGAGAGCTCTCTTGCTTACGCAGTTTCATCATTATCAGTAATAAGACAACGTAACGCACTATACATTCAGTATAATGAAATTACAGTTCGACCACACCGTAACACGTCTCTGTCACAATCACACACCCGTGTAACGTGAGGTACGTAATTACATGATAACACCAAAATATGTCAACCGACAGCAACACCACTTATCTCAATCTAACACAGGGCAGCCTCGAAGCAACACCACTTCTCCTTGCCTGCACTAGAAGAATTCCAACAACGAACAGAAACACGACACTATCTTAGCACTAGTAGAGTGACCACACTCGTTGAATGACTTAAGAGGATCACAGAATACATGTACCCTGAAAGAGGATTGTGAAGTGCCGATACGCGGCGCGAGTAGGTATTTTCAAAAATGCTATCTGTTTCATAACGCACGCTCTGCCTCCCGCCGGGCTCCGGGCGTGAACAACACAAATACAACATACGAGTATTACACTAATTCTCACTCACACTACAATAGCTGCAGCAGGAGCGTTCATTCATTCATAGCCTATATTTACGTACATTTACGACAAGTTACATAATGAATTTGTTTGTCTTACTTTGCAATTTTATTATATTGCATAGTCTATGTAGACGTGGGGAATTACTACATATACCTTATAGAAGTGGGCTGTTATTTTTTTATGTAAGTATCTACCTATATACTATGTGAGTGATTATGAGATGAGTATTACATTCATTCAACTAAAATAAATTTATACATTTTAGAATAGAAGAGAAAGATTAGAGACAAAACTAAAAAAATGCAATTTGCTTCGTAAATCGAAAGGACGGGCAACTAACTTTTAAAATCAACAGCTCTGTGTTCAACAGGTAAGTAGGCGTACTTACTTACTTATAATCATAGAATAATAAATTCTAAGGTTATAATAAATTATACTTACTTTGATCGCGTACCTTACCACCTTACATACTATTGTATGTACATTTGTTGACTGGTAGGAGATAGACCGAAATTTATTCCACAAAATATTAAAGTATGGGATAGCTGATGTTGATTTGACTTCAAAACGGAAGGGGTTCTATATTCGGCTGTATGTATATTTGTTTTAATTTTTTTGTATGTTCACCGATTTCTCCGGACCGATTTTGAATTTAATTTTAAGTATCTATTCTTTTCTGTTCACAGTTGGTCTCATACAAATTTTATGGAAATCATTTCAACCATTATATATTACGTTGTAATTGAGTTTTATTGAAATCGGTTGTACAAAATTTTTAATTTTACCACTTGTCCAGTAATAATATTAGTCCGTTACCCTCTCGTCTGTGGGGTGGCAGAATTCAGCCAAGAAAAAAAAGTCACATCTGTGGACTGGCTGAATTCTGCCATTACTACACGGTCGTATTTCGCGGCAAAACTCGCATGTTTTTTTATCATTGCCAGTTCAATAAGACTGTGACGCCCTTTTCATATGCACACGGCCACGGTACGGTCGCCGTGCCATGTAAAGTAGTAATATATGACCAACAATGAGAACTTTCACATGGCACGGCGACCGTGCCGTGACCGCGTGTCAGCCGTCCTTATCCACTATAAGCACGGTTTTGAGGCGGCAACCGTCTTTATAGTATTGTATGGACTTGTATAGACGCGTTCACATGGACACCGGCGCGGTACAGCATTGCGAGCGCAAATGCCATTCGACAGGCAAATCATAGGGGAACGGACGGACGATTGTTGCAGAATGTCTGTCGAAATCGATGTTGATGTGTTGATCTCGCTAGTTGAAGCGCGTCCTACTTTATGGGATAAAACCATCGCGTCTTATAAAAACAGGAACGAGACAAAAGAAGCGTGGAAAGAAGTATATATAGGATTAAATAGTAGTTTCGAAGAATTGGATGATAATGAAAAGAATAAGTTTGGTGAGATATTTTATTACATTATATTTTTGACATTTGCCAAGGGACCGCCCCTATATTTGATACAAAATAGTCACTCAATATGTTTCGTATATTGTTTGGTGTAAGTCCTCCGCGTGACTGGGTTTGTCTTGGGACATCTTCTAGTCCTGTAATAAAATCTGTGTCCTCCACCTGGTAACCATCTCGATCACGAACAAAGTTGTGTAGTACAACGCAAGCTTTGACGGTCGTGACTGCAAAATCAGGTTTGACGTTAATTGGTCTGTGGAATATTCTCCATTTATTAGCCAAAGGTGCATTCTACATATCTGCGAGCTCTGCTTAGGCGTTAGTTAAACGTTCTTTTTTTAATTGCAAGATTACATCCACCGTACGGACGAAGTAAATGTCGGTGAAGTGCAAATGCTTCGTCACCAACTAGGAAATATGGCACTTCAACGTCTTGTATTCCGCTAATACATTTTTTAGTAGGTAGTTCATGTTCATTTCTTATGATTGATTTCCACAGCGATCATCTCTTAAATATTGAAGAGTCGCAATCTTTACCGTAACTTCCTATGTCCACATAGACAAAGCGGTAGTTTGCGTCTGCTACGGCCATCAAAACTATTGAGGAGTATCCTTTGTAGTTGTAGTACATTGAGCCAAGTGGATTAATAATTCTAATATGTTTCCCATCCACTGCACCAATGCAATGCGGGAAATTGGTTCTTTTTTCGAACTCTTCGGATATTTTTTCCCACATCTCTTTACTAGGTGTAGGCATGCAGTCTGGTAGCATAACACGCCAAATGCTAAAACATACTTCATTTACTATCTTGCTTACTGTTGAAATGCCAAGTCTGTAGTTAAGATGTAGGTCTGTGAAAGTACACCCGCTAGTACCTGAAGTACCTGAAACAAAAAATAAACAATAAATAAACAAAAAAAAATCCATGGGATCAGAGCAATGTTATAATGATGCTGTATAGCATTTGTATTTTTTTTTTATATTGTTTCCAGGTAAAGAAGTAATGAAACGATGGGTAAATATCCGAGATTCTTATCACAAATCATTAAACAAAGAGAAGTCTGTAAAAAAATCGGGAGCCGGTACTACTACTATACGAAAATACGTTTATTTTGATCAATTACAGTTTTTGAACAAAATTTTTTGTGAACGTCCTACAGAGAGTAGCCTACCTACTGATCGGGTCGAAAAACTTTCAAGAGGAAATAATGTTGAAGACAGTACGGAAAGCAATTGTAGCAGCCAGTTTAAATCACCACCACCGCCTCAACAACAGCTCGGTTCACGTAAACCAAAAATAGATGAAATTGACAAAAAATTGTTACATATTTTAGAGAAGCCGGAGGACCGGCATTTGTGTTTTTTTAAAGGAATAATACCTTCATTGTCATCATTCAATGAAGACGAAATAATTAAATTCCAAATGGGAATATTACAACTAATAACGACCATTAAACAAAGTCGTCTTAATACACCGCAACTTCAATCTTTTACTACTCAAGTATCCCGCCCGACACTATCTCAATCGCCGTTACCTGGTCCATCTAGAATTTACTATGAACCTCAAGGAATACAAAAACAAGCAGAAGGAAATATGATATTACCAAGTACACGTCAATATTATGAGCATTTCTATTCCTAAAATCCGTCTTCGAACGGCTCTCAATCATCCTACGCAGGCTCCGACTTCTTTGAGATTCGATTTTGCCAACTGATATATATTAAATTGTCAATTAACATGTTTTCTAGTTTTTATTAAAATGAAAGGGTATTAATATTTTACTTAGTTTGTTTACTTACCTCATAGTAACTGCCAACATTTCAACAGGCTCGATGCAGTCCCTTACGATGCTTTGATGCTGCAGAGCGTCTTTTAGACGTCCATGTAACTCATCAAATGAGCTCTTTGACATCCGAAAATAGATGAAAAATTTATCCTCATGTTCTCGAAGATCTATAAACTTTGTGTAAAAATCTCCCTTTTCCTTTCTCAAAGTATTGTACGGATGTATCCAATATATTCTCTGACGTATGTAATGAAGTAGACGCTGACGACGTCGATACAATAGGAGTAAGGCTATCTTTTTTGTTCCACGATAAAAGACGTTGTCGTTCCCCAAAATTCTCGATAATACTGCGACTACCATAGTCGGCGACCGTGTGTAAACCGTATACATGAGAAAGAGCTAGCACGGTTTCACGGCACGGCGACCGCGCCGTGACCGGATACATGTGAAAAGGGCCTGGGTGTGTTTATTATGAACTTGGCCCTATTATATACGTTAATACTAGCAATGTCTAAAGAAGAAAAAATAAGAATCTTATCATTGAAGTTCTACTGATTTTGCGCTTTGAGATCGAACATTGCTGTGATCATTTTGCTTATAAAATTGTGAATTACAAGTTATATCATGGAAAATACAATGGAGCGGTAAGATATCTTTAATTATTTATCTACTTTTCGAGGCTTGTTGGCAATTTTCAGTGAAGATTTTGTAATTGAATTTGACTCTGCCCTAGGAATGACCGCCGTAATGTTGCAAGTTTTTACTTATTTAGTCACTAAATTGCTTCCAGTGTCACTATATTGTGTTCAATATGTTGTGAAACTACTATTTGAGCTAAATACAAAAGCACATAGTTATTTTGGTGGAAAAAAAATGAGAAATCGCTATAAAAGTATGAACCGGTCATTTCGTGGCTGAAATTTGCCATATCCACAGACTAGGTTTGAAGTTTGTTTTAGTAACGGTGGAGAATATGGATATGCCTTTAGCAGAGGTGGGAAAAATAGTTTCTAGAAGTATTTAAAAATTCAAAATGCAAATTCTTGGTATTTTAATTTGAACTAAAATACATAATAGTTTTGAATTAAAAAAAGTATTTAAATACAAAATTTAAAATACGTACTTTTAAAATAGCTTTTTTAAATAAAATTTCTTACTTGATTTTAACACTACTATTTTTCTTAGAAATCAGTCATTAATTGTTTTGTTTGAAATTTACAAAAACAGAACCAGTTAGACAATTTCGAATATTACAAAGACTAATTGGAAATGAAAAATAAATACAGATAATTTGTATTTGCATTTTAAAGACATGTATTTAAAATTATTAACTTCTGGGGTACTTTGGTTTACTTTTTGAACGGAACTGGAACATTCACGGGGCATTAGGATTTGGAAAGTAATGTATTTTTGCGTCTTATATTTTCCGAAATAAATTGCAAACATTTAATCTTTGTTTCTGACCCAAAGGCATTCTGATCTTGGCAGCTACTGTTCGGCAGCGACTGTTGGGATTCGCGGCACCGCTCTGTATGGGTTTCTATGCTGGCCTTTCCGTTATAAATTGCATGAGTCGCTCGCCGCGATCAGAATTCCACCATGTTGGTATTGTCGTTGATACAGTCAGGGTAGTGTCAGTGGCATGATCCATACACGCGGTGGCACTAGTTCACGCAGTAGTGCACGCACACGCGGTGGTGTTCGCACACGTTATGGCGTACGCACACTTGGTAGCACCGCAGGCGCGGCGCTTGGTGTGGACGCGGCTCGCACAATACGAGGTGGTACAGCGATACGGGGCGGGTGCGCAGCACGAGACGAACGCAGCGTGCTTGTTGTAAGCGGCATGTCAAGTCATGTCACCTCCGGCGTATGAGGCAGGACCACCAACCACTATTTTTCTTGAAATCAAAAATAATATGCAGCATGTTCACCTATTGATAATATCAGAAATACTTTGTTTGAAAGTAATCAATCTTAGTCTTATCCAGATTAGTCTTGACACATTTTGGATGTTTTTGTACTGTTTTTGTATTGTTTTTGTTAGCATTGATTTTATGAAAGTTCTTAGAAACCCTGCAAGGTTTTTAATTCAGATTAAACCTAGTTAAATATATATCTTGAAAATAGAACAGTCCAAACAATCAACTTAATCATTCAGAAATTAATTTATTGTAACCACTAATTTCTAAGTAAAAAAAGACCCTTTTTTGTGTAACTCTTATTCTAGTTCCAGTGAGCGTACTCATGGACCACTTGTGATTTTGCTTACCTGAGAAGCTCAAGTTACTGTAAAAATCTGCTTCAATACTCGAAGTACTTATTTACATAAATATACGTTAAAATGTGGATGTCACTTTTGTACAGCCTCAGAGTAGTTGGTTTAGATTTAAAGTTTTTAAACATTGTTTGCTGAAAAAAAAAAATGTATGTAGAGCCTTGGGATTTTGTGATAGATCTGTGAAAATATGTACTCTTCATGTAATTAAATGCTTATTATGATCAAACATTTATTTATACTTTATTTTTTACGTAGAAATAAATATGAATTTATGTGCCCCAACTTAGATGTAGTATAACAGATTTATTGTAATATTGCAGTTGATATAATTTAAAGAAATAGGAACACAAACTAATTCTGAGTAATGGATAAAGAAAATGAAACCTTGATTTAAAATAGAACTGGATAAATTACGGTTTTTATAAACTTAGGGTCAAAAATAACCCAAGTCTGTGGTGTGGCTGAATTCAGCCACACAGACATGACAATTTTCAATTTGAGTTTCCCACAGCTGAGAGGTTACAAGAAGTTGTTCATATCACTGTTACTGTGGAATTCCGATGATTCCAAGGAAAATACTAAAATTTTCGAGATACAAAGATTTGATTAGTAAAATTTCTATACATGGTATAGCCATGCTATTAGTAGTATAGTTGTAGTACGAGTCGGTCGGCTCGACCGGGGAACGACTACGCTCTCACAGAAATTTAAACGATTTACCGAATTATATAGGTAAACTAGCTTTTCACCCACGACTTCGCCCGCGTTAGTTAGCCATAAAATATAATTTAAACAATTATGCTTCTATTTATTTTTCAGTGACTCCGAGATTGACAAATAATTACCAGACAGTAGTGCAAGGACGATATACTTCAGTTGGCGAAGGAATTGAATCTGACAAAGAGAATCAAAAAGAATACAATAATAATAAGTCATGTAAATATATATAATACATCACCGTCTTTGACTGTCGAGCTAATTAATTATTGAACCAGAGTTGTCAAGATTAGGTCAGATAAGTTGTATGGGCGAAGAATTGTACAAATAAATCATTTCGCAAATAAAAAAAATATTTCGATTCCAATTTCATTAATTTAACATTTTGCAAAAAATCAAGATTAGGAAACATAATCTAAAAGTTTGGGAGTGTGGACTGTTTATTGATTCCGAAGATTATTATTTAGGGACAACTCCCGATGTGCTTATTGGACATGATTCTCTAAATGAAAATGTCTTATTTCTGATTCTAATATGCTACATTTGGAGGCCAAAACTAAAAACAGATCAAATTTTGTTTGATACGAGAAGGACAAACAGAAAAAAAGAAACCATGATTAGATACTATTATCAGGTCCAGGGATAATTACACATATCACTGGTAGTCAATTTTGGTTTTTCATAGTATGGACACAACTTTTTCATGTTTTCGTACTTTAATAAACCATGTGGTTCGGCGTAGGAAAAAAATAAATACTATGATCACTTTTGGGCAGCAAAAATGCAGCCAAGACTTTACTCATTTCATTTTTAATGTTTATTACCAGAAATGATTGACCCTCGATTTCCTAAAGAAATGGCAGTTCGAGAAAGAGTGTAATTAAGTAATATGTAATAATAAACAATAATAATTTCTTCAAGTTGTTACTTTTTATTTATTTGTCTACCTACTTTATTGTAAACTCGAAATATTTTTAATTTAATGTCCTTATTCAATAAAGACTAAATTAATAACTAAATAATCGATAAACAATGAATAATCACAGATATTCTTTTTCATGAGAGGTATTATCTTTATAGGTTATCGATGTTATAGTCTCCTCCCTAGGCGATAATAATATCGATAACACCTCTAAAAGCTAAAAGTTACAGCCTATATATACGCGTTCCACTGCTGGGCACAGGCCTCCTCTCATTTCTGAGAGGGTTTTAGGGCAAGGAAAGGTCCGCCGCGCTGCCCCAATGCGTGTTGGCGAACTTCACGTCTTCGAAATATATATTTTTTTCTTATTTGTCAGACATGCAGGTTTCCTCACGATGTTTTCCTTCACCGCCCAGCACGTGGTAAATCAGCACTTAAAATTGCAATTAACAATTTCATTGGTGCCGGCAGGGATCGAACCCGGGTTTCTTGCGTACCTACTGTGAAATTTATAGCGAGCGCTAAGCATCTGAGCTACCACGGCTTTAGTAATCAGTTTAGTTTAATTAAAAAATAATAATAACGCTCGAGGAAGTTTTTAAGTCAAAAATATAGATATTTTGATGCTAATAACTTATATTGTATACAATATTTCTTTAAAATAAAAACGTACGGGCCTAGCTTTTTGTCGTATCTACAACATTTCCAAAAATTATTAAAATTGGACTATATTTACGGGGGGGGGGGGGGGGGGGAACGTTGTCGCTTTTTGTATGAAAATTTACAGCTTCACAATCCTCTTAAGCGGAATCTCTCGCGCACGGCACCTACAGTGAACTTTATACTGCACAAACAAGCGGGGGTTTCTCGATATACCCTCCATTGCACCTCGATCCAACCGGGTATTCTAGAGACGCTCCGACACGGCCATCCTG